CCTGGACAGAAAAAGGTCATAACAAAACGTAGGACTAAATATCCTGAATGCGTTCTAAACCACAGCAAGTCTGCCACATCAATAATGTACGCGGCAGCTGCTGATGGCAAATTCCTGCCCACATATGTTGTGTATAAGGCGTGCATATGTATAGCGATTGGACGGTTGGAGGCCCAAATGGTACGCGCTACAGGCCTTGTTTTAAATAACAAATGCTTAACGCATCAGTTTTAATGTGAATTTAACGTCATAAAATTCTTTTTATCTTTTTATTTTTTAAAGACATTAAATTTTTCAAATTACTGCAAGATTACCGCAAAACAAGTTAAATATTATTCAACTCGTTTTTTATTAATACAAGTGTTTATTTCTTTCATTTTTTTTATATTAAATAATTAAATTTGATATTAAATTAAAAAAAAAAATTTCATGTAAAAAAATTATTTTCCTCAACATTTGTATAAATGAATTAAAATATGTTAATTTAAAAAAAAAAAAATTAACATTTTTTAATCATTAAAAAAAAGTTCATTTGCCCATTTTTTTTAATCATTGAAGATTTTTTATTTTAAAAAAATTAGCGAGTAACATATAAAAAAATTACGCTAATTTATCTACTTTTATTAATTAAAAGTTTATTATTTTATAAACGATTTTGTTGTGAAAGCAAAGATTATTTTTCCAAACAAAATTTATTAAAAAATAATCGCTGCGATTTAACTTGTCATATATAAAGAAAAAAGTTTAACTTACATTTTGTGCAAATTTTTGATGCAGCCATTTATTTAAAATTTAATTTTGACAAGCATTGACTTTAATTTAAATAAACTTGAATATATTTTTTAAGTCAAAATTTAATTATATATTTTTTAAATCTAAATTAAATTAATTTTTTTTTTTTAATCAGAATAAATTTATATATTTGTTTTAAATTAAATCATTTTTTTTTTATCGGATATAAATTACATTATAATGATCTTTGCTTCAAGCTTAAAGCATTAATGTTTTTCAAGCGAAAAAATCAATCATTACAAAATAAAAAAAAATAAAAATTAAGTAGAAATTATTTATTACTATAGAAATAGAAATTTAAGTAATTTTTTTTAATGCAATCAAAAGTTGCATAAACAATTCTTGTCCTCTCAATATGATAAATAAAAGTTTTTATTATATATATTTCTTTTATGTTTTTTTTTATTTTTTTAATAACTTCGCATAAAAAAAAAAAAATAATTGTTACTATAAACAATTTTGTTTTCTGTTCGATAAAATAATTAGCTTAATAGAGATTAAGTTTTTATAGTTTTTTATTTTTTTCATTAGTAAATAGTGCTTTTAGTTTTTTTCATTAGTAAATAGCGCTTACATCTAACATAATTGTCATTCAAACTTTTTTACATAATCGTCAAAGTGGTTTTTTATAAAATTAATTACTTCTTTTATCTTACTACTTAATAGAGTAATTTAAAATTAAAAAATATCAAAAGTTGCTTCATGCAAATTGCTCTAGACGTACGTAATTTGTACGTAAATTGCCAGGAGCTTAACACTTTAAAACAAGCTCTGCGCTACAACCATAGCAAAATAGGGTGGTTTGACATGGTTTGTTTTGAAGATTGGATAGTGTGTGCTAACTTCCTTATTTGAAAAAATTACCTGGTCGAAAAATAACATTGGGTGACAATCTGTCAAGCCACCTGAGTGCTAGTGCAGTTGAACTTTGTACAAGGTACAACATCGAGTTTTTCTGCCTGCAAACTCAATGCACCTGACTCAGCCGTTAGACGTAGCATTCTTCCGATCCTTAAAAACAGCCTGGCGAACAATTCTATTGAATGAAAAAAAGGTCCAGGAAGAAAGGAGGCTTCCATCCCAAAAAATACTTTTCCCCATCTTCTCAAGAAGTTGACCATAGAGATAGCTAAAAACCATTTTTTTTTAAAAACTAAAAAGATTTTTGATTATAAAAGTTTAGAATTTCTTAATTAAGCATAGGTGTAATTAATTGTGTCAAGTATCATAACCATTTTATATTATTGTACTTCAATTACAGTGGCTTAGACCTATTTTAATTTCAAGAGGGTTGGTCAGTAGGCTGTATTCTAGGACTCAATTCTTAGGTGTTTCATTTATGCATGAAACTGTACTTAATTAATTTTATTGCTAATTTGCATCCAATTAATCACTTTAATTTGTTTCAGATCCTTGTATACAAGTAGCATTGCTTAAAAAACATATATTTTGTTCCTATTGACCCCTTGACTCATGTGAATAGGAATATGTGGTATTCTAAAATTACTGTTCCTATTCACCCCAACCCCCAATAAAAAAAAAAAGAAAATGTAACAATAATTGTGGTAATTATGAAGAAAACAAGATAAAAACTGTCCCTATTCACCCCGAATCACGGTACTTATAAAGTTGCCTTGTAATTTAAAATTAAAAACTTGACTCTTAACCTATGTTCTAGATTTTTACAGATATCTTTTTACATATTTTTGTTACTATCAAAATTTAATGTTTCATTTATAAATTTTTTTTCTAATATTTTTCTATATTTATAAGTATATATAAACTTATGCTAATAATACTTATAAAATATTTATAAGTATATATATTCATAATATTCTTACTTAACTAAACTCCGTTTATTGAACAAGTTATCTTATAATATTTAAGTGTTAGTGACACAACCATTTTTTCCTTCAACCTTTCCTTTGAACTTCAGCTTTAAAAACACTAGTTTCAAGCTGCAATATGAACTTCAGCTTTAAAAACACTAGTTTTGAGTTGCAATATGAATTTCAGCTTTAAAAACACTTGTTTCGAGCTGCAAAGAAATTAATGTTGGAAATGGCATCTTGGTTTTTTTAAAGGCTTCTATCATATAGAATATCTAAGAAAGTTTTGAAAAACTTTAAAAAAATTCATTTCGTTTGAACAGCAATATGAAAGATGATATAACTTGTATCATGATCTATACAATCATTGCAGGTTGTATTGCTTTCTCTTTTTTACAAATAATGCAAACTTTTATATCTTGTTCCATAAATCAAAACTCAATCTTATGTGACTCGTCATTTAATTAAATCACACCAATTTGATGTAACTGTACCTTCATGTTCAAAAAACTTTTTTTCTTTTCTTAAATACCAATGCTTAGAATTCTTTCTTGACAATTTATGGTTTTAATAAATTTTCTTGTGTTAACCATTTTCTTGCTCTCAAACACTCAAACTTAAATAGTAGTCGCTTGCAGCTTTGTTGGCAATGAATTTGTGAAAAAATTTTAAATATAATTTATTTTTAATATTACAATAGTATTGAAGAAAAACGTTTTTAATTTTATCAGTTGAGTAGTTTGGCTGAGGTATTCATCTCAGCTGAACTACTGGATATGGTGTATAGTTTTTTTTTCAATTTTAAAATAAGCTTTTTAAAATGATATTATTTGAAAATCAAGCAAGATGGGGCAGCTAATTATTATCTAATATCTTTGTATACAATGAAAATTAAAATGAAAGGTTTTGTATTTAGGGAGAAAATTAAATTATAATAAAGATTAAATTTCAATGATACAAAAAAACAAAGTCTTTGGTCACTTTCAAACATAAAATAATGTTTAAACCTTTTATATCAGTACTTATTTTTTTATACAGTAAGAATTATAAGAAACTGAAGAAAATAGCTAGCTAATAACATTATTTAAATTGGGCTACTCAAAAAACAGTATTTTGGGCAAATTTTAGGTGTTTCTAAACCACTGTGTAATGCCCTGATATATTAGCTGATCATTTTACTTTTACCCATTAGTTATATTATTTAATAACTTAGTTAATTAAGTTATAAATTAGGTCTTTCTAAAACATTCTTTGAAAGATGCAAGGGGTGCCAAAAATTACACCAACTTAAAAGTTAAAAACTCCTGAGCAACTCCTGTTGATGGAAAAACTTTATTTTGGTGAACAAAACAAAAGAGTCAATATGTATTGACTCCAATGCATATTTATAGGACTTGCACTCCTTGTATGATGTACTTCTTGTATATTTGCCAATTAAATGCATGTTGTAACCCTTTTCTATGGTTTGATCTTTTCAGATAGTTTAACTTTAAACCTAATTTTATAATCATCCTTTCTTCCATAGAATCTGGTGTTTCCTGTCCATTCTTCTTTAATGTCACTAATAAACATTGATTTTAATTTAACTTGCATCCTATTTTAATTTAACTCCCATGCACCTATTACTATATTATCATATTAACCATAGTGTTGAGATACTTAATTAAACTTGGTACTCTTTCTGACTGGCTGCACCCTATTTTCTAGATACTAAAACACTAGTCGAAAATTATAAACTATCCCCTGCTACCTTAAATTTTTATATATTTTTTTAAAGAAATTGCTCATAATTTATAATTATTAGTGTTAACATGATTCAACATTAAAAACTTACTGTTTCAAATTTATATTGTTTCAAATTATTTCTTTACTAATGCACCTAGAAGCTTTTTTAAAAGGTGTCCAATAGTAAATGGTTATGGCCTCAGCAGATAAATGTCATTGAATGGGTTGACATTCCTAACTTTTTTCTGTAAGAAAATGCTGTGCTCTCCTATGGTAAAAAGAAGAGAATGGTAATCTTAGAATGCAACAGTAAATTTTTTTTTACATTTTATACGTATTATCTACCTAAAATTTCAAAAAAATATTTTTTTTATTATTTTTTGCTTTGAAAACTTTTTCCTAAGTTTCAATTTTGGTTTGACATTCTAAAACATAGTTATTTTAACAAAGAATGAGACAGTATTCCAAAAAATGTAAAACTAAAAACATTTTAATGTAAAACTAAAATAATTTTGATTTATTAATTTTTATCTTAGAAAGCTATTCCCTAAACAAATAAATACAACAAAACTCTAAAAAATATTAACATACCAAAATTATATCTAAAAAATATTAACATACCAAAAAAATTATATCTAAAAAATATTAACATACCAAAAGGTAAAATAACTTCTTGAACACTGTCTGTTAAACTTCTTTTCACTAACTCATTTTGGTTTGTTGTTTTGATGTCGCTTATTTGCTCCTGATCATCTTTATTTTCCAGCCAATATCTTTGACCACCAACATGTTTCTAAAATATACCATTAAAAATGCCAACAATTTGTGCTTTTATTGCCTAGTCTTGTACTTAAGGCTAATTAAATAGCTTCTGCACTATTTTCAAAGCAAAAATTTATTTATTATGAATAAAGATAACACACAAAAGGTTTTTCAGCTGTAACAATAATTTTTATACCATTAATTATACAAAAAATAAAAATTAGTAACAAATAAAAAATTAGTAATCAGTGAAGATTTCTGCAGATTCTGCTAATTTAAACTCAATTGTATAACATTTTTATTATGTAGTAAGGAGATTTAACTAATCCTGCAAATGTTGTGGGCATTTTTTTTGATTCATTATATATAAATATTAATTCAGTCTACATTACTTATTTCGAAAAAAAATGATTTATATTCTTTGTAATAACTCTCTGGTTACTTATTTATAAAATATTTCTTGAGCTTAAATTTTTTTTTTTAATAGATGCTGAATAAAAATAGAACTATTGGTACTAAAGCATAATTGAATCTTGATCCAGAAATCAGTACCTGCCGTATTTTGCTATAAACTGATGAGCCGGTATCTGCACCAAAACAGCAGACTGATCCAAATAGTGAAAATAAAGAAAATAAGTAAGTAAATAACCAAAACAGAATACCAAAAAACCAAATAACCAAAAGAACATGTTTTTTGCAAAATAAAACATAAAAACTCAAAAAGTATTTATATAAAAACACCACTCTGCATATATAACTCATTTTAGCGGTTTTGTTGATTTAACAAACACACCATTTAATGAGCATGACAATTAGCAGAAAAATACCAATTGGTTATGCCCTAATTGGTACCTATCAATAAAAAATCTTTTATCTCTGAATGGTTCAAAAAATATAACAACCTTTACAAAGTTTTTTCCATTATAAAGTACTTTATTATAGATTTATTAGTTGTACTTTTTCATGAACATTTTAGGTTCTAATGGAAGAAACTGGCTGAGAATTAGTGCTTGATTTCTGAAGGTACTGAGTCCAAAAATGTGGAGAAAGTAATAAAAAATTTTCTCTGCATAAAAGGTTGAGCCTTCATTAACTCGTGGAGTTAATGAAAGCTTAACCTTTAATACTTAACTCTCATTCACACAGAAAAAAATATTGTAAAGAAAAGATGTTTAGATTCTGATATTATGTATACTTAATTTTTAAATATGTATAATTAATTTTTAAAGGCTAGTATAGTATACCAGCCTTTTTAAAATTAATTATAAATAAAATTTTCACATATTTAAAAATAGATTTTATTTCATTAAATCTTTCTGAAGTCTGAATATAGTTTTGAAAAGTTGGTTGTGAGTTTTGAACATATACACTGTTGCTTGAAATCTTTTGAAGATATTCCTATATTTGAAAGGAAATTATTAATTTGGAAAACTGGGCTTACAATTATCGATGTCATATTTAAAACTTGTCTTCATTATAAACATGTTTATTTGAATTTTTAAAGAAATAAAAAAAATGTATTTAAGGCAGTGACAATTTTTATTTATCAAAATAGCTTAATTTTGGAAAACTTTGTCCACAGCGCTGACATAAATTAACATCCATTGAAAAGTTACAAGAAAATGAGATGGAGATTAAATTTTTTAAGTTGATATGGAGAAAGAAATGAGTAAATAAGATCATTGCTCAACAGAATTTTTGTGTGAACTTGAAATTTCTCCCTAAATGTTAATTTACTCAAAATCTTGATAAAACAATAAAGAAACAATAATTAAGACATTTAATACTGTTCTAAATGTCACTGAATACAATCTTGCTGCACCAAGAATCATTGAAATTTAAAAAGAGATTCAAACCAAGCTAAAAATCTGGCCTTCCTTGTGAATGCAAGGAAAAAAAAAATTCCTAGGTAACCAGTGGTATCTAGATACCACTGGTTGAAATTTAAATAAAATGTGGACTGCCCTCTTTTTTTTTAATCTTGTTGTTAATAAAATCTTTTTCATACTTAGTGCATTTAGTTTATATTAAACAAATGCTGTGCTACTTTCTTACCTATTCTCTCATCTTTATAAAATCTTTTTTCTTACTAGTAGTAATACTACCATTTAAATTTCATTAAGAAAAAAATACCCAAAATACTTTACCTAAGACTTCGCAATATTTATTATTTTAAAGTTTAAAAGAGTACTTACTAAAAGTCGATTTTTCAATTTTTTTGACCCAATTATTACATTGTTATTTTTCGTGATATCAGCATATTTTGTATTGATATTTCTACCTATTTTAGTCAATTTGCAAAAATTATCTTTGTAAAAAACTTGAATCTTTTTTGAACATAACAAGAATCGAGGTGATAACATTTACAATATTTTTTTTTACAGTTGCGTTTTATTAATTTTTAATAAATAAACATCTTTTTCAAAACTCTTTTTTGCAAACAAAGTTTATGAACAACCAAATAAATTGTTTTCAGACAAACGCAGACTCAAACAATTTTTAAGTTATAATTTGTTTACCTTTACCTTTTCGGGATTTTTGAGTGAAGTCAGCGCATGCCTAATAACTAAAATTTTTTTTATATACATATATTTTTTGTTATCTTCATAATTTATTAGATGATAGAATCAACGTTTGAAGTTTTGTCTAAATTAATGACCGGAATATACCAAAATAAGTGTTTGCTTGATTTTAAAACATTTTTTAATACAAATTATTTTTTTAACTTATTGCCTGTCCAAACCGAAACCCTTAGTAGATGTATGTACACATCCTGCATGTTCGACCTATTTAGTCAGTCGATGTATGTACACTCCTTGCCTGTTTTACATGTGTCTGCACACCTTCTAATTTTTATAACAAATAAAACTTTTACAACAATTTAAGTTTTTATTGACAAATATCATAGACATAACGCATTGACAACAATCATAGACATAACGCATTGCGCTCAGGAGGAATCGATCTCGCGTCGCACAGTGACTCAGGACAGTCAAAAAAAGGCAAAAATTAAATAAAAATTGACGTAAATTGTAAATAAATAATGTTATATATTAAATTAATAATTTTTAAATCAAAGATTTCAAATTTGTTAATAATTTTTTTTTAACGCGCAGCTTCGACGCGTAAAACGTGCGCTTACGCGTTTTAAAGGTGACTTTTAAAGGTATACGCGTACAAATTTTTTTTTTTTTAGTTTTTAGAATTTTGTTTATTTATGTTTATTGACTCGATAACTTAAAATAATCATTTTTAAGTTATGGAGTCAAAAAAAAGCGTAAGTAAAGTAGAACATCATGTTTCACAGTATCAAAGGCCTTTGAGAGGTCAATAAACACTCCAAGAGTATATTGGTTGTTTTCAAACCCATTTAATACTTCTTTAACTAATTTAATTACTGCATTTCTGTCGGGTACCCTTTTCTAAATCCGTACTGATTTTTATTTATATCTTTGTGAGTTTTGAGATAGTTGAAAAGCTTATTGTGCATTATTCGCTCTAGAATTTTAGAAAAAACATGGAACTATTGAAATAGGTCTGTAACTAGATAACTTTAAGATATCACCATCTAGTTTCAAAAGGCCAGGGAAAAATCCATTTTTAAATGAAAGATTAGATATGATAAGTAAGGGGTATTCAATAATATCAAGAACTTCTTTAACGACCCAAGGGATTATATCATCAAGACATGAGCTTTTGTTTGGTTTTATCATATTAAAAGCAAACCGAAGTTCATCAGGCGATACCTCAAGCTCATCCATTACATAGTCCACTTCTTTTACATATGACTTAAAATTTTTTTTCCCGGGTGTTATTTTGTTTGTTAGGTTTTTTTCCCGGGTGTTATTTTGTTTGCTAGGTTTTTACCCACGTTTATAAAAAAGTTATTGCAACTGTTTACAATATCTTTTTTCTCATTAGTTATTGTTCTTTCATCCTCAGTAAATAAATATTTCAGTAAAGTATCACCACGAGTTTTCTTTTCTTTTCCTATCACTTCTTTTATTATATCCTAAGTTTTTTTTTATTATTTCCAATATTATTATGTAATAAATTTGAGAAACAATTTTTTTTTTAGCTTTTTTTTTTCAAGTTTTCAAAAATCTTTTTGTATACTTTATATTTCTTTTCGTTTTGACAAGTTTTTTTTTAAGTATTTTTCATATAGTTTTTGCTTCTTCTATGGGGTTGTCGATAAATTACGTCACGCAATTTTTGACCGTTTTCGACCCCCTCCCCCTCCCCTCGGCACAAAATCGTCACACTTAAGTAGCGAGTTTTGAATGAGTCGTCACAAAATCACCAACCCTCTCCCCCCTTATAGCGTGACGTAATTTATGGACCTCTCCATAGAAGAATTAATAAGTCCTTTTGTAATCCATGGACTTTGGAAATCGGAAACGCTTTGTCGCACGTATTAAAGAACTCATTGTAAAAAAATTTACAGGCATTTGTATCTTTGCAATTATGTAGTTGTTTCCAGTTTACTTTGAGTAAATAATTTCTAAATTCATAATTATTAAATTCAGTAATCTGCCTTTTTATTTCCGTTAGCACTTAGCTTTTTTTTTTTTTTATAAAAATCAGATATAAAAAAAATTGGGAAGTGGTCGCTTATATCGCTTTTTATGATTCCGCTTTGAATGTTGCATGTTGTAAAAATGTTAGCAAAAATATTATCAATGAAAGATTCGGTTTGAAGAGTTACACGAGTAGGCTTGTTTATTTAGGGAAGAATGTTGTATTGAAAAAAAGAGAGTTTAAGAAACGTTTTACATTATTACCAGTTTTAACAATTTAGAAAATTTCGATTAAAGTCCCCCCTTGATGTAAACTTGTTTCTTTTTTACTTCATTTAGATGCCATTTTCAAGTGTTTTTGAAAAGATTTTTTATTTCTGCATGGGTGGTCTATACAAAGCAGTTATTAAAACGTTTTTTTTATTGTGGTTTAACAATTCAATAGTTAATGATTCGAAATCCGCATTTTGAAAGCATTGATTTAAATTTTTCACATAAAATAATAAAACTAATATATATAATAAAAAGTCATAAAACTAATATATATATATATATATATATATATATATATATATATATTATATATATATATATATATATATATATATATATATATATATATATATATATATATATATATATATATATATATATATATATATATTAGTTTTATGACTTTTTATCAACCCCATGCTCCTGTACTGTAGTTTGATGAACTTTTACCTAAAAAGCACGAAATGAACTATTATTTGCATATCTTTTCAAAAAAGTTCACCTCCCATTGAAAAATCGATTTTGACATAAGTACTAAATTTACAATTTATTTAATAACATTTTTGCTACAATTGTTTAGCTAAGAACTAAAAACTTTTTTTCAGACTATTTTTTAAACTTTAATAATATTATAGCTTTTTTATTAACAACAATACTAATAATTCAAATAGTGAGCTTTTTATTTATTTATATCTAAAAAATTAAAACAAACTGTATTAACGCATAAGTATACAATTTAGTTAAGTGGTCAATTTAGTTAAGTTGTCGTAAAGTTTTAAAGCAAAGTAAAATAGTGAAGCTATTATATTAAAACAATAACTCACTTTAAAAAAAAGATTGCTAAAACAAATGTTAAGGTGGCAGTGCAGCCATCTTTATTACTGACGTATTTATCTCTCATGAAGTTAATTAGTTCTATAAAGCTTTTCTCAAACATATTTTGGTATATGTAAACTATAAAAATAAACACATACTTATCTAGGTTATAAATAGACCGAATGATGGTAATTTAATATAATATATCGCTAAATCCTTTAAATTAGCTCCCCAAGCAGCAAACAATATTGGCGCAATATTGGCGCGATATTGTCTACAATATTGGCGCAATATTGTAAACTATATCGCGCCAATATTGCAATGTCAACATTTTGCCAATATTGGCCAATATTAGCGGTACAATATTGCGCCAATATTGTTAAGTCAATATTGGCCAATATTGGCAAAATGTTGACATTACAATATTGGCGCGATATCGTTTACAATATTGGCACAATATTGTAAATACAATACTGGCCAATATTGGCCTAATAAAGTTATATTGTTTTTAGTCTTAAACAATAAAATGTTATTTTTTTAAATTTTTTTATTTATTCGCCAGAATATCTACAATGTAAATTTACATTGAATATATTACCGGCAGGGCTTCTAGAAGATCACAGTTCTATCTAATATGTAAAATAAATACCAAAAAAGTGGGCATTTAAATGGGTCAAAAATACAACACAATATTCTATCTAATATGTAAAATACAAAAATAAAAAATTATATATAAATAAATACAATGTTATATGTAATATAATATATTATATCAGGTAGAACATTTTATATTTTTATATTTATATATACTTTTTGTATTTATTTTATATATTAGATAGAACATTTTATTTATTATATTTGAAGATAGAACAAGATAATACAGAGGGGATGAATTGTTTAACCCGAAAGAATAATGCAGCCTATAGTCTATACGATATTTTTGTATATAGTTTAGACTATAATTGTATATAACTTGAGTTATAGTCTAGAAGGCGATAATAATCTAGGAACGCTTTGAAAAAATGAGACTTTTTAAAATCTAATGATAAATTTATTAGAAGTTATATTAAACTGATACAAATGAATATATATATATATATATATATATATATATATATATATATATATATATATATATATATATATATATATATATATATATATATATATATATATATATATATATTACAGCGTTACACTCTCACTATCAGATAGTGGGCATTGATTTTCATTATCTTGGCGACATTCATTTTCATCGCTCAATAGTGGGCTTTGCTCAATTGCGGTTCTATTCTTTCTTCCGCCTTCTCTATCAATGGCCGTTGCCAGAAAGCTGCCGATTCTTTCTTTAATGCTTTTGTCATTAGCGTTTTCAAATTTTTTTTATGGCAACTGCAAACAAATTTTAAGTTGATAATGTTAAACAAGACATGAACAAAATGTAATCAAAAATTATCAAACTTATTAATTCAACTAAATACGAAGATAAATAATTAAATAAATTACCTATAACCACCTTGCACCTTGTAAGAGGCGAAAATGATTTCTTTTGTTTCCTGCCATACATAAAGTATAACAAGCATACTTTTTTAGCCATTACTTGTTTTAAGATAGCCGTGGTAAGTTGCTTGTAATCGTCGCCTCCAACCGATGCAAGGAAGTTCATCTAAAACAAAAACAAACAAAAAAAAATCGAGTTTGTTTATTATTATATTCAAAAATATATAATTGGTTGTAATAAAAGTTTAATGGTTCTATAAATGTGTGTATTTCGAACAGGTTTCCATAATGTTACAACTTCATTATCTATAATGAGATATTCAAAGATGACACGGAGAAAAAGCAATTTGTTATAAATAGATGCAATCCCTGAGGTCAACCTGTTTTGGTGATCAAGACTTATTGACATAAATGTTTTATAAAGTGATAAAAACACTAAGAAGAATACCACACAAAATTTTATACAGGTTTATGAGCTTCTCATACCCCTACCAATAATTACACAATATATTGTGTAAAAAATCTGATACTATAGTATCAGATTATTCATTCACTAGTATAGGTTGTCTTTACAACAGTAAAAAAATCGGGGTGAATGCAATCTCAAGTATCTAATGTGAGGCTTCCTATGATTAGTAGGCTGATTGCTCTACTAAATGAGTTAACTGGGCATAAATGGTTAAAACCACAACACAATTTAATAAATATACTGTATATAAAGCATTCTTTTCCGTATCATAATTAAAATCTAGAAGTTCTTTTTCCTCTTTAACAGGCAAATAATTCCATTTAACTGATGGGGATGGTCCTGCTATGCTCTGATTGCTAACAGAAGGAAACACTAAACCTTTTTCTAAATTGATTAGGCAAGTGTTTAACTTTTTCAAATCATATTGAATACTGTCAAGCAACTCTAAACTTTTCTTCTCAAATGCTGCAATAAAAAAATAATTTTGACTTTAATAAATACCAATTAAATAGATTAGCTTTTTATTTAAGTTAACGCAAAAAACTAAGAAAAAAATAGTATAATTACATTCAAAAATATATTAAAGAGTACATTTAATTCAACCTTCAAACAAATAACCCATCAAGGTAATCCTTTACCAGGAAATCGGGTGCCTAAAGCAGCCATAACAGTTGCCAAGCTCTGATCAGAAGACGAAAATATCAGTAGAGAACGATTCGAACTAAATGGCTCAATATATCGAACAGTTGTGGGTTGTAAAATATTTTGGGAATTAAAAGATTTCTTCAATATTGGGGAAACTGATGGATATGTCTCCTCAGTGTCACTTGTATTACAAACTGCTAACTTTTTAGCTGGTGGCATGGACAATTTTTCATCGCTATCAGCAGCTGTTTCAAAGCTATAAAAAAAGTTAAAAAAAAAGCTATAAAAAAAGTTAAAAAAAAGCTATAAAAGTTAAATAATATCTATAAAAATATCTATAAAAAATCTATAAAAGTTAAATAATCTGTTATGAAAGGTAAAAAATATAGGAAAATCACAAATATATATAGATTCAGGATCCCATACATTGTAATAGTTTAAATTAGGTGGTACAAAGTCTTCAGGAGCCCCACATAAATATGTAGTATATGAAAGTGCTCTTAAATTGTATTTTAAAAAAAGAAGCGTTTCAAGATTTTTTGTTTTGAGTCTAATACGTTCTTGTTATATTGATTTCAAAACTTTAAACTCACATTCACTTGAAGTTGGGCTTGGAAGTGAATTTATATTTTTTTATATTTATATTTAATTATAAATATAAAATAATATAAAATTTAATAATAAATAACATTTTAGAAAGAATTTAAAATCAAAAGTTGTTTATTTAAAATAAAAATAATTATTCTAATATAAAAAAGAATAGCCTTTGTAAAACTATAACAGTTTTAAATTTTGTTATAACTTTTGTATTACTTTTACACGATTATTTAATATTATCATTTTTATTACTATTATTATTACTATTTTATATTATTATTGTTATTATTATTTCAATCAGCCAAATAATCATAAGAATGTTTATATAAACATATTATGATTAATGACTCATCACTGAAGTTTATTGCAGTTTCGCAGTTAAGTAATTCATTTGTATTTTTAGCATTACTTATTAAGTGAATTTCATTTAAATGTTGCTTCACTAATCTTTTAATATAATGTGATTTAGCAGGTCAAGTTCAAGTTATTGATTTTTTCATTACCTATAACATTGTATTACACTTATACATTATATATATATATATATATATATATATATATATATATATATATATATATATATATATATATATATATATATATATATATTATATATATATATATATATATATATATATATATATGTATATATTTATATATATATATATATATATATATATATATATATATATATATATATATATATATATATATATATATATATATATATTACAAAGATCAGAATATCATATACAGTATCATATAATTTACTTATTTTTTTACATGATATTTTGGCTTATAAAGTGAGAGACATTATTAAACTAATAAAACCGTTTAAACAGTTTTGACTGGTTTTATTAGTTTGATAATGGCTCACACTTAATGAGCCAAAATATCACGTAAAAAAAGAAATAAATATTATGATACTGTATATGATGTTTTAATGGTTATAATATTATTATACATACTAATAAAGATATCACTTAAATATATATATATATATATATATATATATATATATATATATATATATATATATATATATATATACACCACAAGGCTGAGATTATTAGGTGTCAAGTCGGTGTCAGCATTTTTACAGTATGTTATAATATTGTAATTGCTATTCATAAATTTAAAACCTTAAAACAGTTAGAAAGTAAATAAAAAAGATAAAAAAAAGAAAGAAATAAAAAATAGATAAACCTAAATCTAGATTTAATAACTTTTTAAAAATTTATTCATTTGCAAACTTATTAAATGGTAAATCATATGACGTATTTGTTACTTAATTGAATATCTTTAACAAAACAAATATATATACAAATCTTGCAGATGCAATTAACTCAAATTGTTTTTATATAAAAGTAAACTTACTATTTCAACCTTTATCTTATAATACAGAAATATTTTTCCACTTCTTCTCGTGATACAATCTGTTTCTAAATGAACTACAACCACTTCTTCTCGTGATACAATCTCTAAATTTTCAATTAAAAGGATTTCTTCACTTTTACTACTTTTTCTCGTGATACAATCTGTTTTTAAATAAAAAATGTTTTTAATGTTACGCATGCGTACCAATATGTAAAAATGTCAATATTGGCCAATATTTGAGTTATGAAAACAAAATAATATTGGGCCAATATAGGCAAACAATATTGCACCAATATTCGCATATCAATATTGGCCAATATTGGCATGTCAATATTGCGCCAATATTATATTCCAATATTAGGAAAATAATATTGGCGTAATATTGGTATGATAATATTGGGCAATATTGATATGCCAATATTGGCGCAATATTGTTTGCCAATATTGGCGCAATATTGCATATCTTGGGCAATCTAGGCCAAGATACCCAATATCGCGCCAATATTGCGCCAATATTGTTTGCTACTTGGGTCATGATCAAAATTAAGAAGCCCTATGATGGCTGCGTCATTGTCAGTAATTTTAACATACCACATTGCCTATGTCAAGACACCCTATGGTTTCTCAAACCATATGTTGGACTTTTTATTTACCTGCAGTAGTAATTCTATTTTAAAATTGTTTCCAAATGAAATATTTGGTAATAATACTTTGGACCACTTTAGTATAACTTGAGGAATTTTAGTTTCAATACCGTTTCCCGAAAATGAATCTCAGTTGTTTAGTTACTGCAAAGGTAATATAATACACTATCAAAATTTATTGCATCAATCAAATGAAATGTTATATTTATGCATGAAACCGCGGATCAAATGTTTAATTTATTAGTTTGTTACATTTGTACAGTGTGCGAATATTTTATCGGTCAAGGTGAATAAAATAAAGAAAAGTATGACCCTTGTGTTACTCCACATATTAAAAACCTAATCCAAAATAAATAAATAAAAAATCCCCTTAGTATATCAGCTGCTTAACTAAATGGAAGAATAATAAACTAAAAATAAACTGCTATCTTCTTAATCGTTCTGTAAAAGCTGAAATATTTAAAGCATAAAAAGAATAATATTAAAACCCCTATGAATAATTTCCATCGTTAAAAAAGTGATACTAACCTGAATAAACATATAAAGACAACTTGGGTTTTTCTATTTCAGACTTACTTAACTTAACAGTCTTATTTAACTTACTAATCTAAACCCCTATAATATTTACAAAAATCTTTCATAAATTTTTAATTCTTTAATACTGCTCTCTCTCTCTAGAAGTTAACAAACTTTAGTTTGGTCTATAAATAAACGGAAGATAAATTACTTGCTGAAAACTATCGACTTATTTCACTAATCTCTGTTGCCTGCAAATAGTCAAAATACTTGTTAAGAATAAAATCTTTAAGCCCTTTAGCGATAATAAAATGCTCTCTGCAAATCAAGATGGTTTCTTCATCATAAATTATGCGTGACTAATCTAATAAAGACTTTTGATACTAATTCATCTTCTATATTTCACCAATTTATTGATGTAATCTCAATTTTGCCAAAGCATTTAATCCTCTACCTTACAACAGACTTACGGTAAAATTAAGATATTTCGGAATAAATGGAAAACAAATAAAAAGGTATAATAAATTAATCCCTAAAAAATTCTACGAAAGTGCCTAGTTTAAAAGAATTCATTACTTCATGTAACGCCAAGTGGAGCAAACATTTTCTAACAGTTGTCTCAAAGTCCTAACAAATTCTTGGTATGCAAAAAGACATTCACTTTCATTAATGAAAATATGGTTCTCAAATTGTATAAAGCGTTTTTCAGACCACAACATAAAAATACAGTGTCTATTTGGGTTTCTTATTAAAAAAACTAATAAAATCTTGGTTGAATCTATTCAACGCAAAGCAACAAAATGGACTTCCAGCTTTAGATATGCTTAATACTGCGAAAGACTAAGAAGATTGAACTAACATCATTGTCTAATTTTTTCGTAGATAAGCCTAAGGTTAAGAGAAATTTTTTGCACTTTTTCCTGCATTTTACAGATTAAAAATTTCCACTTTTTTGTATTTTACCCGAGACCATATTAATAAATAATGATATAAGATGCTTATTTAAAAATAAAATAGCAGCACTATTGTTTTATTTGACATAATCCATTAGCGTAGCAACTGCAAAAAGATCCTCAACCACATTAAAACATATTAATGGACAATAATGGCGCAAATCATCTTGTCTGCAAGAGACCTAATACCTACTGAAGCAGAAATAGCAGTTCAATTAAATTTTAAAGATGTTTTTTGACAATTTGTAGCTATAAAGACAAGAAAAAACTTTCATCAAATTTTCCACTTACTAGACTTGCATAGTGTAACATACTTGTTTCCATTAAATTAAATCAAAATTTTATTTAAAAATGAGGCTTTTGTTTTCATGTACCTTTTTTTTTGTTTCGAGGTTGGAGGGGGGAGAGGGAGAGAGAAGTAATTGAGAGGCCCGGATTAAAATTTAAACTTTAAAATAAACTTCAACAAATTTTTAGGCGTTTATATTAATGAAAATCTTTCATGGAAGCAGTACATTTATGTATTGGAATATTATACAAAACAAGAAACAACCTAAGTAAGCACACTTTAACTCAACTATATCACTAATTTTTCCAATGCCATCTAAACTATGCAAATGTCGCTTGGGGTAGCACAAATAAAAGTAAACTTGAGTCTCTATATTGTCAACAAAAATGTGATTCACACCTTATTAATTTTAGGGCTTGCTTTACTTATGCCAACCCTCTCTTAATAGGAAATCATTTAATGATGTTGCAATTTCCTTAAAAAGTCTAAGTTTCATTGGTATAGTGACATATTCCACAGCTTTAGCAAGACAATCAAAACTGGTGTTTTTTCCAGGCTTTCCGTTCCAGGTTGCTTCGATTTTGGTAAGCCTTTCCAAAACTTTACAACTTCAATTATCATAGGATAAATCATTTGGGCACGTTTGGAAACATTACTATTTTCAATCCGTCTGTGTGCACAAAATTTAAGAGGGTAATCGGAAAAAGTAGCAGCTGTTAAACATTCATAGTCAGCTTGTCGAGAAGGAGACTAATCAAATATTTTATACAGAGAAAAAAGTAGCTTCTTAATATTCCAGTCTGTAGCCTTTTCCCCAATTTGGAAAGAACGACGAAGGGTATGGAGACTACATGTTCCGATATTAATCGAAGGATCAAGTAAATCTTCTTTTGTGCTCTCATTTACCAGATTTAAAAAGGCTAAGTTTACATTAGGTCCGTCAGAAGAAACTTTAATGACTTTACTACAATCCAAAGAACTTAAACAATTATTATATTTTGAAAAAACATCACCAGCAGATACTTTACCCAAGAACTCAGAACTCCAATAAGATGTTTTTACTTCATTTTCTGTGTCATCCTAAAAACGAACATGTAGATCCATTTGACTTTTTTTAGAAATTTTGTTATAAGATTCATCAAATAATGTGGTATAATAAGGAACTTAGTTCAATTCGTTTAGCATTGTTTCTTTAACAAAAGGGGCAACACCGTGACATAAAATGTAACTGCATTTTGTTTTTCCTCAAGTGAAACTTTGAGCAATTTGACAGTCAGGAAATATGGAGCAAAATATAACTTTAAATCAGATTATTGAAATTTATTTTTATAGATGTACCACCTTAAATTCTGGCATATATTTATACATTTTCAAACTCTAATTTACTTTCATTAAGATTGCAAGCAACCACCATTAAGTTATGAGTTACTTGAAAATAGAGGATAAGTAAAAATTCTAGGAAATGGTTAACTGAAGACTTGAAAAGGTGTCGAGGAAAAAAAGAAAAAAAGAAAGAATTTATTTGAATAAAAAGAATAAAACTTATCAATATAAAAGAAGATAAAATTATTTTCAAATTATATTATAAAATTTGAGGCTGACTGTCTGCTAGGTTTCGCGGGGGACAGTCCCAAATTTTCAGCATTTGTCCCCGGTACCCGGAAAGAGACAATTTGTCTCCGATTTTAAATTTTAGAAAACTTTCATATAAATTGCAAGAAAAAAATTAATTTTTCATAAAAAATCTGTTAAAAATTTTTCAAAAAATGAAAGAGATATGGAGTAAGAAAAAAGGTCGTTCCACTTAAAATTTAAATTTGTTTAAATTTTCGTTCCAAACTATATTTACAAAGTCTTCAGAAAACTTTAAATATACCAATAACTTTAAGGCTATTTGGTAATTATCGACAAGTCTTGATATAAAGTTTTAGTTTGAACTTATAATTTTCTATGACTTTATTTTTGTCAAAAAAAATTATTCAAACATTATACATTGGAATTTTATTCAACGAAATTGCAATGTTAATAAAAATTTAACATAAAATTTATTCAAAGATTTAAAAAAAATGTTATATTGGAGCGCTATTTTTGAAAAACATGTCGTTTGAACCGTCAAAAAAGAAATTTAAATTATTTGTTTACACAAATGTAAGCAAATGCTTCAAAAATAAAAACAATCAAAGAAAATTTTAGTTTTATTAAATAATTAGAAATAATTAGCTTCGCGCAATAAAAAGATAAGAAAATACCTTATTTACTTGAATGGAATCAATGAAGAGAAAAACTCAATTATTAACTCAATTAAAAAGTGGATTAAAAATTGACACACTTGATTCCTTTATATCGATCCAATATAATAGCGATGAAAATTGTGTTCAGTTTTATAACTGATAATTTTATAACTATTATGTCTGGGGAGGACTGCCCGTGTTTGAAAGAAAACTTGCCTGGTGATGAATGGGTAAGATCATTTTTAGAGCGACATAGAAGTCTTTTATCTTATTGAGCATGTCAAAATATTTGTAGAATATATGCTGCAATTTCATGAGACTCTGTAAATAGATTTTTTAACAACTCAAAAGACACTAAAAAAATGTTCTCCCACAAAACATAATAAACCATGATGAAACTAATCTTTCTGATGACCCAAATGCGCAAAATATTTTGTGGCGAGTAGACGTGTTTTATTCAGAGGAAATAATTACTTTTTGAAACTTTTTTTTTTTTTTATTTTTTTTTTTTAATAACAAAAAATAAACTTATTAAATGGATAAAAAAAATATTGTTGTTCGAAAGAAATCTAACGAAACGGGGAATATAGATGAAACACAAATTCCAACAAACGTTGTTCGAGATATTTTCCATGAAATGTTTTCAAAACAGCAGAAAGATATCTTTAAGCTTATAAGTGGTAACCTAAAAATAACTAACGATAAAATAAACGAGGTACTTGATGAAATACATAAATCAAAACAAATTTGCGACTCATTAAAAAAGGAAAACGAAAAGGTAAACATTAAACTTAAAGAAATTACAGAGAAAGTAAGAATCTTAGAAAAGACAAATAAAGATATCGAAGAAAGCTTAACAGTTACACAAGACATCCAAGAAAAAAAGGTATGCGAATTAGAAAAGAAAATTAAAAACAAAAATATTATAGGCGAGGAGGAAAAGAATAAACTACGACAGCTAGAAGATAGACTCAGAAGGAATAATCTTCGCATCGACGGGCTACCCGAAAACGATCAAGAAACCTGGGATGAAACTGAAAAGAAATTATTGATTTTATTTGAAAACAAATTAAATATTAGGAACGTTGATATCGAGAGGGCTCACAGAGTTGGAAAAAAAGAAGAAAATAAAACTAGAACAATTGTTGTTAAAATACTACATTACAAAGACAAAATAAAAGTACTAAATTCATCTAATCGACTTAAAGGAACAGGAATATACATCAACGAAGACTTCTCTTTTGAAACAACGTTCATAAGAAAAAAACTCTTAGAAGAAATGAAGATGCACAGAAAAAATGGTAAATACTCTTCTATAAAATATGATAAACTTATAGTTAGAGAATTTAGGAAAATCAAAGGAAGTGCTTAATTACTTTATCATTTATATTAAGAACTTTTTTTTTTTTTTATCATTATTATTATTATTATTTTTTCTTTTTCAGTAAAATAATAATTGAACAGTCTATAAAAAATACCCTACTCATGAATGAAGATAGTGTTACACTTAACTCAGAATTTAATTCATTACAAAATAATATACTTCTACACCTTTTCTGGATCAATTTAAAAGAAATACGAATCAATTTAAAAAAAATACGAATCAATTTAAAAGAAATACGAATCAATTTAAAAGAAATACGAATCAATTTAAAAGAAATACGAATCAATTTAAAAGAAATACGAATCAATTTAAAAGAAATACGAATCAATTTAAAAGAAATACGAATCAATTTAAAAGAAATACGAATCAATTTAAAAGAAATACGAATCAATTTAAAAGAAATACGAATCAATTTAAAAGAAATACGAATCAATTTAAAAGAAATACGAATCAATTTAAAAGAAATACGAATCAATTTAAAAGGAATACGAATCAATTTAAATTAGTATTTCTTTTAAATTGATTCGTATTTCTTTTAAATTGATTCGTATTCCTTTTAAATTGATTCGTATTTCTTTTAAATTGATCCAGAAAAGGTGTAGATAACAATTCTGATCCAGATATTAATTTTTATAGTAATAACAAAGTATTTCAAAATATTAATACTTTATATTATGACCCTACATCTGAAGTCATAATGCAAGGACTAGATGTAAATTCATTTTCAATGTTACATTTAAATATTAGGAGTTTTTCAAAAAATTTTGAATTATTTAAACAATTTTTATGCGAGGTTAAATTTAATTTTAAAATTATTAGTCTCAGCGAGACATGGTGTAATGATTAACATATAGAGCAAATACAAATTTTCAGCTACCAAATTATAAAGTCATTCATCAATTTAGAGGATCGGGGAAGAAAGGAGGAGGTTTGTGTGTATTTATAAGTAATTCTTTATTATACAAGCTAAAAAAAGATTTTTGCTCCACCGCTAAAGATTATGAATCACTATGTGTGTAAATAATAAATAAAACCACAAAAAACATTATCATCCACGTTTTATACAGACCACCTTCCGGCTCAATAAAACAATGCGAAAAGCACATTAAAAACATAATTAAAAATAAATTAAGCGAAAATAAAAGCATTTATTTTATAGGTGATTTTAACCTTGACCTGAACATGACTCATTTAAATACAAACATAAATAATTTCTTTAACGTCATATATCAGAAAGGCTTTATTCCACTAATTAATAAACCCACAAGAAAAACTAGAGAAAGCGCAACTATGATAGATCAAATAGTCACCAATGAACTAATATCAAAAATAAAAACAGGAATATTTAAATGCGACATTTCAGATCATTTCCCTGTATTTCTTATTTCACAAAAATGTGATAACATTTATGCACAAAAAGTTAAAAAAAATACGCGATATATAAATAAAAAATCCATGGAAAATTTTAATACTCTTTTTTCAGATTTAAATTTGGATGACCTCCTTCATATTGAACACGTGACCTCCTTCATATTGATCACGTAGATAAGGCATACGATAAGTTTATTGATAAATTATAACAACTTTACAATACGGCTTTTTCTGTAGTTACAAAATGTGTGAAAAAAAACAACATTAAATCCATGGATAACGCCTGGAATTATAAAGTCATCGAAAAAAAAGCAACGACTTTATAATAAGTTTTTAAAAAAAAAAACTTTCAATAATGAAACTAATTACACAAATTATAAACGTATTTTTGAGATGGTTATCAAAAAGTCAAAGAAATATTACTATATTGAGCATTTAATAAAACATAAAAATGATCCAAAAAAAACTTGGGACACAATTAAGGAAGTAATTGGCACGAAACAAAATGACGGAAATAGTCTTCCTATAAAACTAAACATTAAAAATAAAACTATTACAAATAAATCTTTAATTGCTGAAACACTTAATCAGTATTTTGTCAGTGTTGGTTTCACTTTAGCGTCGAAAATAGAAACTACTGAAGTAAACTTTGAGTACTATCTTACTCCTAATAAGACCTCTAAGATGGATAATTATGAAATTACTGAAAAGGAACTCTTAGATTCAGTATACTTTTTAAAACTAAACAAAAGTGTGGGGTTTGATAATATTAGTAGAAATGTAATTAAAAAATCAATAAAGTACTTAACAATCCCTCTTTTACATATTTATAATCTCTCTTTAAAACTAGGCATTTATCCGGAAAAACTAAAAATTGCAAGGGTCATACCTATTTTCAAGTCAGGAGACATATTTAATCCTGAAAATTACAGACCAATATCAATTCTTCCTTGCTTCTCCAAAATCTTAGAGCGAATTATGTATAAACGAATTTTGACTTTTCTAAATATAAATAATATTCTATATAACAATCAATTTGGTTTTCAACCAGGGTATTCAACTGACCATGCCATTATTAATATTGTTCACGATATATTTAAAGCATTTGATGAAAGTAAGTTTGCCAAGTAGACCATAACATTCTTATAAAATAACTCGAAAGTTATGGTATTAAAAGTACATATTTAGAATGGCTTAAAAGTTATCTAAACAATAGAAAACAATACATAGCACACGAAGAAATAAAAACTGAATACTTGACTATTACTTGCGGTGTTCCCCAAGGCTCAATTCCGGGTCCACTTTTATTTCTTATTTATGTAAACGATTTTCATAAGTTTTCAAACATTTTAAACTCAGTTTTATTTGCAGATGATACAAATTTATTTTATTCTAATGGAGATATCAACCTCTTATTTAAAATAGTAAACAAGGAATTTTTAAATCTAGCGGAATGGTTTAAGGCAAACAAATTGTCCTTAAATTTAAATAAAACTAAGTATACTTTTTTTCATAGACTTCACGATAAAGAAAATATTCCATTAAAACTTCCTGATCTTTACATTGGCAACTCTAAAATAGTTAGAGAGTCATCATTAAAGTTTTTAGGAGTGATACTTGACGGAAACATGACATGGAGAGAACACATAAGAACAATTGAAAATAAAACTTCGAAAAATATTGGCATACTATACAAAGCTAAGCAAACCTTAAACCAAAACTGCTTAAAAATCTTATATTTCTCTCTCATACATTGTTATATAAACTGTGCAAATATTGCATGGTGCAGCTCTAATGTAAGTAAAGTTAAAAAATTGCTTAGTAGACAAAAACACGCTGTCAGGATTATTTCAAATGCAGGTCGATTCGCACATTCTAAAGAACTATTCAAAAATCATCACATACTCAATGTTCTTCAGTTAAACCTTTATCAAATTCTTATTTTTATGTACAAACTACATAATAAATTAACTCCTATAATTTTTAATACATTTTTCAATAAAATTAATCACGTGTACCTTACAAAATTTTCAAATTACAATTACGAGCAACCTAAAATACACTATTTGGCTACTAAATTTTCTATTGCCATCAGAGGTCCTAAATTATGAAACACTTTATTAAATAACCAGCTGAAAAATTGTTCTTTACTTTCTCTATTTAAACAAAAACTTAAACAAAAACTTCTTAACGATGTTAATGAATTAAATTCTTTTTAAGATTCTTTTATCTTCTTTTTTAACAACTATCTTATTAACTAGTCTAACCAATTTAAATTTTCTTTAATCATCCTATTAGCGTATCTTCAGTTTTTAAGTGTGATTGCTTTTTTTTTTTTTATTTTTATTTTTGTTTTTGTTTTTTTTGTTTTTGTTTTTACAATTTTCTTTTGATTATAGATTAGTAACTGATCTTAAAATATTTGTATATATTTGTACATAATTTTTAAATTGTACAAAGTAAGTTTATGTTTTATGTTTACATTTTAATGGTTATACACGCTTGCTGATGAAAGCACGTCGGGGTGTAGTGATAAGGCAAATATTGTCTTCTTTTAGCCCCGGTCATGTAGATTTTATTTATATAACACGGCATTGTATTCTTTTTTTTAATGACAAATAAAAAAAAAAAATAATAATAATAATAAATCAAAACAAATGATATTCCGGAAAGGTACTAAACATGCTGAAAGAGTTATGAATACGTCAAAGTCATCAGTGCCAATAATGTTTGCATGTGATGGTGTTTTTCTGATGATGCAGATACACTGGTGATGGTGTTTTTCTTCCTCCATAAACAGTGCATAAAGTTGAGGCTCTGATGGATATATGGATACTTTAAGGTCCAATGGGGCATTTATGTTTTTTTATACTGTAATCTTAGATCAAATGAATTATATATTTAGCAAGGAATTTTCATTTTTGTTATTTTATTATATATATATATATATATATATATATATATATATATATATATATATATATATATATATATATATATATATATATATATATATATATATATATATATATATATTCAAAAAATCATTAGGTGCTTGTTTACTCCAAATTGCGGGGTAAATGCGCTCCCGTATATTTTGTAACTTAAATTCTTCGTTTTTAATTTTATCTTGTATCCAACATTCCTCTAAGAAAGTTTTAATGTAGTATTAAAAAAGCATATCTTACTTTTTTAAATTATTTAAGTGTTTTATTTTTTTCATTTTGAAAAAAGCTACAAAAGAAGGTGCTTAGTTACCCCACGCTACGGTTTTTATAAATATATATATATATATATATATATATATATATATATATATATATATATATATATATATATATATATATATATATATATATGTATATATATATATATATATATATGTATATATATATATATATATATATATATATATATATATATGTATATATATATATATATATATATGTATATATATATATATATATATATATATATATATATATATATATATATATATATATATATATATATATATATATATATATATATATATATATATATATATATATATATATATATATATAAAGACAACGTCTCAAAAAACATAGACCAAACCACCTTAGCTTAGTTTCCTTGCTTTCAAACCTACTAGTGAACTCAGTCAATTGCGTTTCTTGACTAATAACCCGTGTTTGCTAAATGCTCAAAAGCTTGATAAACTGAGCCTACGCATTGCTGATACTAAAAAAAATTGTCATACATTAAAAGCAGAAGCTTGGTTTAGTAACACATCAAACACTTTTATATTGGGATACTATCTCCATCATCAAATGAAAGTAAAAAAAAGTGAATGAGGAATAGCCATGTAAATTAAAGAAACTATCAAAATGACTGATGTCAACTTAACTCTACTTCCATTGAACAATAGTGGCTGATCTAACAAACCAGTAACAAGTCACAACTGTAAAGATGTATTTATTGACATCTGTATGATGACGTAAAAACTGCATCACAATTTCTAAAATAACTAGGATGTGCTTAAACACTGGATTACGGGAATTTTATTTCTGACACACGCACTGCAAGTGTTTAAATTTTGGAGGGGTTGTCTTGACAGTTGCAAGTATTGATGGTAACCATATTGATGTAGCAGATATGCAAATTCAAAATAATTTTCTCGTAACTTATACTCAGACCAGCCAAAAATCACTCTGGACCTCGACATGAGCAACGCGCTGGACCGTGTGTTTAGGATAAAAAAAGAAATTCCCCTTAGAAACTCATCAACAGGCCAGGTACACTACCTGTTAACCGGAACATTTACGTTGACAGGAATTGTTGAAAATTAGACAAAACTGTTAACACCACATTTCACATGAAAGAAAGCCAATGATGAAGCACTCATTCAGAAAAATACGTTTTGTTTGCTAAACTCATAGAGTAAGAAAACAACTGGGTTACAGATAAAGTCAAAGAGACGCTATCCAAAAAAAACATTAACTGTAGTGTCAAAAGATATCGCTTGGTAGAGAAACTAATGAAATCATTCGTAGTTTATATTAAGTGGCATGTAAGACAGCGGAATTATTAGTCTAGCTAGCCGTTTTAAAACATGAATAGGATATTACTTGTGTCTTTAAAGTTAATCTAAAGAAACTGCAGGCTCATGTAAATCATAAAACGCAAATACATGACCATAGTCGCTTACTTAACCATCAATACCGTGTAAAATACCTGAGAGATTAATATACGAATCAACCCCTGATCACTTGCTAACCAACAATCTTATTAATAAAGTTCAGCATGGTTTTGTGTAAAGAAAAGAATGCACAACAAATCTGTTGAAAACCCGTAACATTTGTAATGAAGGCGCTAATCTTAAATAAGCTGTCGATGTCGCTAATCGTAAATAAGCTGTCGATGTTGTCTATACCAGTTTAGCTAAAACTTTTGACTAGATACTTACGGCATAAGAGAAATGTTCTTAGACTAGATCAAATTGTGGCTATCCGGCCGTTTACAGAAAGTTACAATCGGACATGAAAAATCTGAACGGAAAAAAAAACATGGAGCGAAGTATCCCAAAAATCCGTCTTAGGTCCCTTACTTTTCGTGATTTACATAAACAACTTACCAGACAATATTTTCAACATCAAGCAAAAAAATTAATAAAATCTCTGAGGCACCGTTCTTATGAAAAAAGAGTAGGCTGACAACACTAGAAGAAAGGAGGAAATAAGGAAATTTTTACGCAATCCAGCGCTAAGAGAGTTTATAAAATAAAGCTAGCTAATCCATGTGCGTTAACAAAGGTTAAAGTTCTTTTTAGGTTTTGTTAGTGGAAAAAATTACCTCCTGATCTCCTAAAATCTCTAATTTTTTTTTTTTTTTTTTTTTTTTTTTGTTATTTAGGTGCCCCAAGAAGTGCACGCCTGCTTCCTTACCGTGACGCTAAAAATATGTTCAGAAAATATGTCGTTTCAAACATGTATCTCCTGCTTATAAAGCAAGCGCTCTAACCACTCGAAGCTCACCTTACTTGTTCAGAAGCTCGGTGCTTTATCCAATCGGCCACACTGGCACATATTCAATCTCTGAATTTAAAATGAAGCTTTTTACTCATTAAAAAAACACAATTCAATATTGAAATTCTTTATTATATTTATCAAAATGTAATCCTTCAGTTTTTAACTTTCCTATTTTTGATGTTTTAAAATTCTTCATTTATTCATCAATTTAATTTTGAAATTTCATTTTGATCTTTTGAAACTATTTATCCATTAATTTAATTCCTCTAGCTTTTCAATCTGCTGTTTTTAGTATTTTCCAAACATTTTTCATTTTTGTTAGTTTTAAAATTTTGAGATTCTTAGTTTATCTATTTTTTTTTTAAATTTTATTTGGCTATGATATAAGAAGTAAAAATTTCTAATAAAATGAACATAAAATAATAATAATAATTATATATATATATATATATATATATATATATATATATATATATATATATATATATATATATATATATATATATATATATATATATATATATATATATATATATATATATATATATATATATATATATATATATATATATATATATATATATATATATATGAAGACTCCACGGGAAGATACGGCAGGGTCACATTTTGAAAATTTTGACTTTTTTAATTTTCTAGCTTAATAAACTACAGAACCATTTTTTGTATTTGATTTTAAATCAAATAATTGACTTTATGTATATTTAAAGTTTGATGGAATTATGCTCTCTTCTTTAATATTCAAATAGTTAGCTCCCCGAAAAAATAAGATTTTAAACAATCGAAACTTACTAAAAGACATAAACCAAACACTACTCTGTATTATCAAGATATAGATTGTAAGCTCCAAGTCCTTTTTTTTCATAATACTTGCAGATGATTTGGTTAATAATTATTATTAAAAATGGCGACACTCAAACCTTAAGAACAAGAACAAAAAAAATCCAAGCAAAGAAAAAACAAAGATTGCGCGAAAGTATAAAAAAACAAAGGCTAGCATAACGAAAAACAGGGCTTGAATGTAACTGTAAAAGGTTGAAATACTTCAAAATTGTTAAAAAAGAAGATAGAACTGTTTTATTAAGTTGCTTTAACTAAAAAATTAATGATTTAATTTATGAATTAATAAAAAAGTTGAATTTTTTGGTAGCTTTCAGAGAGGTTGATTCCATCAACAGCTGTAAAATATCAAAGTTCTAACAGTGCCATGTTGCACATGGATGGTATCCCTGTTTGTACTTTTGGTGTGCATTGCCAAGGCCATATCGGAGCCCTTTGTTACGGCTTAGGGTTCATTAATAGTAATGAGGCAATCGCTTGGGCAATTAAACAGTGTACTGAGTGCACATTAAGCACATTAAACAGTCTATTGAGTGCTATCTATGTTTCGAGTCAAGTTCTTTAACAAATTTAAAAATGAATAAAGTAACAAAAACTATAAAACACAAAAAACCACAGTTATCACCAAGTTCGCTAAACCTATCATTCACTAACATTCATGGTCTTTGAAGTAACTTTTCTTCTGTTGAGTCTTATCTCTTGCAAAGTTCACCAGACCTACTTTCTCTTTGTGAGACTAATTTGAGTTCAGCTGTCTCATCTTGCAATCTTAGTGTTGATGGTTATCTTCTTTTAATCCGTAAAGACTCAAATAGTCACATGCTTGGCCTGGGCATTTACATTCGTAAGAATTCACCCATTTGTCGGGAAACTAGGTTTGAATCCACATAATACTCTTTTATGTGCTTTTGTTAAGCGCCACTTCACTCTATTACTTTTTCTTTGTTCAATATCGCTCTCCTTCATCTCAAGACTGCACTCATCTTGATGTTGTTTCTGATCATATTGACCAAGCCCTCACTCTTTATCCATCAGCCAATATTGTTGTTGTCGTTAACTTTAATGTTCATCACACTGAATGGCTTAGCTCTAGTGTCAGTGACTCTGCAGGCTTTAAGGCCCACAACTTTTGTCTTTCTCAATTCCTAACTCAAATAGTCAACTTTCCAACTCGCTTTCAAGACAACCCGAACCATTAACCTTCTCTACTCGACTTATGTCTTGTTTCTGATCCTAGTCAGTGCTCAGTTTCTCCACATTCCCCTTTAAGTGCTTCCGATCATGGTTTGGTCCCTCTAAAACTGTTATCTCATTCTTCTTTATCATCAGAATCCCCCTATCATTGTACATCTTACAACTACCTTAAAGCTGACGGGGACTCTTTCCGTGATTTTCTTTGTGATGGCCCTTGGGTAAAAATTTTTTGTCTTCCTGTTGACAAATGTGCTCAACATCTTATCAATATCATCTCTTGATTCCACTAGTTGCATTCTTCCTGTTGACAAATGTGCTTCTTACATAACTTCGTGGATTCAGGCTGGCATGGAATCCTTTAGTCTCTCTCAACAATTCCAGGTCAAGCCTCACCTTTCTTCAAGGTTTTCCTCACATTGTGCTGCTGCAATTGCCAATCAAAATTACTTCCATATCTATCAGCAAAACAATTCTCCAGAAAACAGACATCTGTTTATTACTGCTAGAAACCATTGTAAAAAGGTTTTGTCTAACGCCAAAGCCCGCTATTCTCAGATCATAAAATTTCGTATTTCATTACAAAAATTATTAAATCAATCTCTTGACTTCTGGAGAATCTTTAATAGTATCAATAATAATGGCAAATCTGTAATTCTACCTCTTTTGTATGGTTCAGACTTTGTCACCTCACCTAAAGACAAAGCTGAATTGTTTGCTAAGAACTTTTTATCAATATCATCTCTTGATTCCACTAGTTGCATTCTACCTGATATAGCTGTCAAACAGGTTGATCCATTGCTCGACATCCGTATTACCCCAGCTTCTGTATCAAAAGTGATTTCCTGCTTAGACTCTTCTACATCTTGTGGCCCGGACAACAAACCTGTTATAGTCTTGCAGAAGTGTTCTCCGGAGCTGTTGTCTATAATTTCAAAACTATTCAACAAGTGCTTATCAGAGTCTTGTTTTCCAGCCTGCTGGAAAGCAGCATCTGTTATCCCTATTTTTAAAAATTCTGGAGAGCGATCTGATTCGTCTAACTACCGTCCCATTAGTCTTCTTCCTATCATAAGCAAGGTTTTTGAATCTTTAATTAACTAACACTTAATCTCTTATCTTGAATCTAATAACTTAATTTCTAATCACCAGTATGGATTTCGATCTTCTCGTTCTACGGCTGATTTGCTAACAGTTATAACAGATAGGTTTTATCGCACATTAGATAAAGGTGGAGAGGTTAAGGCCATCGCTCTTGACATTTATAAAGCGTTTCATAAAGTTTGGCATGCTGGTCTTTTGCATAAGCTTTTTTTTTACGGTGTATCTGGAAACATCTTTAAGATTATTAAATCCTTCCTTTCCAATCGTAGTATAAAAGTTGTCCTTGATGGACAGCACTCTTCTTCTTATTCTGTAACCTCATGGGTTCCTCAAGGTTCAATCCTTGGCCCTATACTCTTTTTAATTTACATTAACAATCTTCCAGATAATCGCACATCTAAGGTGGCATTGTTTGATGATGATACTACCATTTATTCTTGTCACGATAAGAAGCCAACTCCCTCTGATTGCTTGCAGGGGGCATTTGAGCTTGAAAAGGATCTCACTTCTGCTACAGCATGGGGCTCACAGTGGCTGGTGAACTTTAATTCAGATAAAACTCAATTTTTTTCAGCCAATCATTATCGCAATAATTTAGACCTTCCTATATTTATGAACGGTAATGTACTCGATTAGTCATCTGCCCTTCATCTTCTAGGATTAATTCTTACTTCTGATCTTTCTTAGAAACCATATATCAAATCCGTTGCAAAAATAGCATCTGCTAAAGTTGCATCTCTTTATCGAGCTTGACACTTTCTTACTCTGGATTCTATTCTCTATCTCTATAAATCTCAAATCCGGTCTTGTATAGAATAGTGTTGCCATATCTGGGCCGGATCTTTTCCTTTCTCTTTTAGACAAGGTGCAAAAACACATTGTAAACATAGTTGGACCTGCTCTGGCAGCCAACCTTCTAACTTTGTTACATCGTCGTAATGTTGCTTCTCTTTCTCTTTTCTACAAATACTATAATGAGCACTGCTCTAAAGAGCTAGCTTCTCTTGTGCCATCTACTAAAATTCATTCCCGTGTTATTCGTCATTCAATTAGGTCTCATCCTTTTTCTGTGACTGTTCCTAAGTGCTCTAAAAACTCTTATTCCTCTAGTTTTGTCCCTCGAACATCAGTTCTTTGGAATTCGCTTCCTTCATCTTGTTTTCCTGATTCATATAATTTGCAATCTTTTAAGTCGTCTGTCAATCATTATCTTGCTCTACAATCTTCACCTTTTCTCTTCCAGTAACTTTTAACGCTAATTAGTGGCTGCTTGCAGCCTTGTTGGAAGCAAAGCAAAAGAAGACCTTATATATATATATATATATATATATATATATATATATATATATATATATATATATATATATATATATATATATATATATATATATATATATATATATATATATATATATATATATATATATAAATTGCTTAAATGTTCGTGAAGTGAAAATTTTATTTTGTTTTTTATTTCAACTTTAAATTTGAACTTTTAAAATTTTTTATACTCCCGTTAAATTCTATTTCGTCAAATATTTCGTAACTCAATTCGAATTAAGAACAAAATGTAATTTAGAATTTTTTTAACAAGAGTTCTTTGAAATTTTTTAACTTTGTTACTTAGAGGAGGCAAAAAACGTTGAACAGTCGTTCACTGCGAACATTATATAAGAATACTAGGTTTTATATGTCGTAAGTTTAAATACACTTTAAAGGCTATTCAAGGTATTTTACTTTAAATACGAAGCAAAAAGAAGTACCTTTTAAAAACCATAAACGCAAAACTTTTTAAAGAATTTGAATATTCATTTTAAGGTTTTGCGCCATAAGCAAGCAATGGATATAGTATTCATTGATTCTGTTCATCCTACTTCAGCCGAATCAATTCAAAAATTTCAATTCAACAAAAAATTTTCGAATAATTCAGACGAAAAAAAGAAAAATAATTTAACTCGCATACAACGTCGCACAAGAGAAAGAAAAGCCTTTAAAAAACTGAAGGATACTGTTCCAACTTTAAGAGAAAAGCGTAAATGGACAAATCGTTTAGATATAATTAAGCATACTTGTGACTACATTAAAGAGTTACAGAAGTTGCTGGAAAGTTTACGCGAGAAGAATAAAAAGCAGCAGGAAAGCTTTAAAACATTGATTGACTAAGTATCTTAATTTTTATTAAAATAAACCATGAATTTTAAATTTATTTTTTCATATTTATTGAGAAATGTTTAAATAATTTTAAACGTTGTTTGTAATATTGTTTTTTAAGTTTGAGGTTAATATTAATTTATCTTAAAATGCGGTAATATTTTAGTCAATTAAATATATGCAAATGAATATTTGCAATAATAGGTGATTTAGAATCTATTACATAGAAGATTGATTTTGTCGTGGAAATAAAAGTATTAAGAAGATGCGGGGGGTAAGAAACTTATTAATAATTGTTTTTATTGTTTTTTAATTTGAAATTATTTCGTAGACATTGTGAATTACTTGGAGTTTTAGAAGAGAATTACTGCAAATATAAAAATTATGAAAATTTAAAAAATATGTGTTTGGTAGAAAAATAAGTTAAAAAAAGAAAGAAATTTTTTTTTGACTGAATCATGAGCCATTATTAAATTTATTTAAAGAGCTGTCTTGCCAGTTCCTCCAATGATTAAATAAAATTTGTGAAATTTTATAACTTCACAACATTTCAAAATCCTTTATAACCTTTAGGCTATATAGGATTTTGAAATGTTGTGAAGTACTTTAAAAAATTTTTAATAACCTAGAGTTTACATTTAACAGAAGCCCATTTAAAAGAATTTAAAACGATTCTCGCGTAACTTTGCTGTTTTTATTAAAGTTATTTATTTAATAATTATGCGTTAAATAAAGTGGAGTGACAAATCTTTATCTTACTGCAATAACTTATTGTAAAATCATTGAACCTAACATTGTTTATTAACAGATGACAAAAATTTTAAAAAATGCCAATAATTAAATTTGTTGTTCTCACTTCACACAATTAAACGGAAGTTAAACCATCTTTTGAATTTTATTAGGCTTTTGAAATCAGCAAGAAAATATGTTAAGTTGTGGTATTTTTTTTTTCAAAATTGTAGGAAAATATAGTTTTTTAAATCTATATATTTTCTGACTTGTTTGCGAAAACAAATTGCTATCTAGGTGGCCTAGATCGCCAGCTCTTTAACAATCTTAAAAAACAATAAACCTATTAAAGTTAAAACGTAATCCGCTTTTAATCCAAAAGAAGTCATTGAAATTCACTATATAATATAAGATAAAGGTAATAATAAAATTTAAGATTAAAGAATACAATTTCAAGGTTTTTGTTTTGTATATTAATGAGTGTTGAATCATAATATTTTGAAGTGTTTTGCTGTTAATATTTTACATTTTATCGCGATGTTATTGGTACTTTTAGTTAGTCATAATAGTTTTTTAAAAGTTTACAGAAAATTTCAAAAAATGCGAATAATTACATTTGCTGTTCTCACTTTATACAATGAAACGGATGTTAAACCATCCTTAGCTTTAATTCAATTGTTGAAATCAGCAAGAAAGCGCGATCAGAAGACGAACTTTTTAATTCAAATTAATCTAATTATAAAAAGTATTCATCTGCTTTTTAATAATATTTAAATAATTGTCTAAAATTTTTCAAATTAACAATTTTTAATTATTGCTAATTTTTAATATTAAATTATACACTGATATACTTAATTTAGAGGAAAATGTAGTTTTATAAGTTTAATTACAAATTAAAAAGTTTACAATATTTTGTATGGTATTGCCGTTACCGATTAGGTAAATACTTATTGCGTAATGACACGAGGGCAATACTCCTAAAAACGGATGAAAAATGAACTTGTAAATAGTAAAAATAATTTAACTTCAATTCATAGTAATTGAGTTAAGTAAATGACATTTTGATTAGTTAATTTACTCATTAAAAATTTACGTAACACAAATGAGCTCATCTATAACTTATTAGTTTAAATATTCTTAAATAAAATAAACATACATATAAAAAATCATACAGTTCATTTAAATAAAACTGTTAAGTTAAATTTACATTAGAAATGAAAAATATCTTTCGATGTTTGAATGTCGTAAATTTACCTTTTTTTTTTGTTTTTGTATAGATATTACAAATTAAACATTTACGTTGTTTTTGTATTTTTTAATCCCCGGAGTTTATTTAACTAAGTACAAAAACAACAGGAATGATCGCAAGTTTAAAAATTAACGGTAATGATCAAAAGTTTGAGAACATCAGGTATCGTTAAAAGTTTGAAAAGAAACTTTATGAAACAAAGAATTTTGCTTACGTTTCTAAAGCATCCGCTTTGTTATAAAATAGCATAGATTGCGCTGATAAGACAATAAAAGAATAAGCGACCAGTTAAATTGTTCTCTCATTCTTTGCGTGTTGATACAATAATGACTCACATAATAAAATCTCCAACGCGCATGCGATAACTTAAAGAAGACATCTATAATAAGTCTTTTAATTTTTCGCAGCGAAAAGATTTTAAACTAAGGTGCTTATTTTATGTTTTTACTTTCAAAAAAAAAAAAAAAAAAAAAGATTATGTGCGGCTTAAAGTAAAGAGCTAATCCTTTAATTAGAGCAGTTTTTATCGATATTTTCAAGTTTCCACATTTTTAAACACGAGCGTACTTGGTTGTCAAAAATTAGTTGACACAAAATTTAAAATGACTTTTAATAATATTATTGAAAATTCAATTCATGCAGTCGTGTTACAAGAAAAGAAAAAAAAAAAACATGTTCATTCTCCTTTTAGTAAAAAGGTAAATTACACGACGTTAGAAGAAGCAAAAGAAAAGAGCAGCATTGAAGAATTTGAACATGAAATTGAGCAATCCAAGTCATCTAAAGCTTTTACATCCGACATTGTTGATAGACAATTTCAGCGAAGAAACGCTATTTCTGAACTTTGTTATGGTGATAGAAGATTAATAGTTCAAATTGTCACCGATTTAAAAAGAGACGCGTATGTGCAACAACTTTGTGAATAAGATTAGTTGCTGGCATATTGCAGGCATGTTGCAAGCACAAAATTTATCAAAAATTAAGAGGTTAATATTTGCTTCAAGTTTTGTTACAAAGATAATTATGTTGGTCAATAAACTTATTCCACTCGTGCAGTGTTTACGTATACCAGCAGCGAAACAAATTATTTAATAAAGCTATAAAGTATTTTAGTTAAAAGCAATTTACATTAACGATAATTGTAAGTAACGTTTTTTCTTAGTGATCGGTTTATAAGTAAAATTTGCTTATTGCGTTCAAGCAATTTAGAAACAGTTATCAACCTTTATTTAGTTGGAATTCAAATGAAAGCTTTTAAATCAACAGTTTATTTTTATTAGTATACATAATAATATATAATACATAGTTATATATCCATTTATAAAAATGAAGTATGAATTTACCGTAATTTATGGAGTCGTATCTTTTTTCAAACACTTTTTGTATACTTTTATATAATTTTTATACTCTTTAACGATTCTCTTTAGTACTTGTAAATTGTTATATTTAATTTAATATTAAGTTGAGCCCATACAAATTTTTAGTCTTTTTTTTTTCTAATTATTGAATTTCATTGCTGAAGCGAGCTTAGTTTAATTTGAATGGTTAAATATTATAGAAGAAACGAAGTAGTTTCCTTTTGGTTTACAGAACTGCAAGGATATAAAAGCTATAAAAAACTGACACAGCTGTTAATACCCAGGCTTGAGAATTTCGGTCAGTGAACCCATTTTTGCCATACTTTCACCAGATTTATGTTGCAAACTATTGTTACCAATTTTAAGTGCTCAAACATCAGAAATTCCATTATATGTATACAATAACTACGACTTTAGCAAAAATTTTATAACTTTGTATAAAACAGGTCTTTTACACAGAGGATTAGTTTACATATAGTATGTTATAACATAGACTATTTACAGGCCTGAATTTAGGCATCAGAAGAGCGTGCCGTGGAACAGTGGCTTCCAACAAATTAAGAGCCCTGACCTGCAAAAAAAAAAAATTAGATTTGTTTTTTGTATAGACGACATGATTAAAGTAGATACACACCTTTTTCGAACAAATAAATTTATTGTAAAAAAAAAAAGAAATTTTAAACGGTAAAAAAAAAATAAAATAAAATAATTTTCAATAGTTTTATTTTCAAACGACTTCCTAAAGAGTTTTAAAAATGAAATAAAATTATACGAAATCAACAAAAGATAGTTTTCATTATTAACATAATTACCCGAACATTGTTTTGTCAACAAAGTTTTAATACTTTTAAAAGTGATTATTAAAGATTTTGAAGGAATAGTTTTAGGTATATTAGGTATATTGTTATTTAACAACAGTAACCGCTAATAATTGACTGCATTCTATTTTACAATACTTGATAGAATACGTAGCTTAACAACTATTGTAGACTGCTTTACCTTAAGCAGTCAATCACTGCTTAAAGCTTAAAAAACAACTGCTAACCACTCCACCATAGCCGTGGCGGAGTGGTTAGCGCGCTTGCCTCAGAAACTATTTCAACGCCACCTTTGGAAAAGTTTAACAACATCGGTAAGGAAGGAGGCTTAAACTTTCTTTCGTGACTTAAACTTAAACTCCTCCGTGGTGCTCTGTGATAAGATCGTAAGGACTTCTTGGGCGCCTAAAATAATTTAAAAAAAAGATAACCAAAACACTTTTTTGCTGGTTTACTTAAAAAATTTTTAAATTGTAAGCAGTTAACAACATGAAGTGAAGTTTCTGTCTGCTACAGATGAGTAAAAGTAAAAAATAATAAAAATTACTACTTAAATCACGTCTACAAGCAGCTATAAGCTTTCCTCAAATAAAGTACTTTTTTTTAACCTAAATGGCGCTAAAACTCACTTACAACAATTTTGAGCTGTGAGGAAACTTCTACATCCTCATGCTAATATTTATTCCAAGACATGCATTTATTGAGAAACAAATTTAAATAGATTCAATATATACCCTGTGCGCGCGCGTAAGTAAAAAAGATATTATTGTTTACATTGTGTAAATAAGATAAAAATAACACTTAGGAAATTGCTTCTGAGATACATGCATGTTTACGTTTTTTTTTTAACGCAATCTAAACTACGTTCTAACTAATACTGCATGATAAGCTTCAACGGCTTTTAACAACTCTTAGCAACAGTTTAATCGCAAAGAGACAGAGGAAAATTAATAACGTAAAAAAAGAAACTTTGATATCTTTAAAAAAAGTTTTAAATTTTTATCAAATAATTGTTATTCTAAACTGGAATAGTTAATTTTTTTCAAGTGGAGATGTAAAGTTTAACAAAACTGATAATGGGTTATCAGATGAAAAAGACAAAAGTTTAATTTAAAGTTTAACCTAAAATAAAATATGTCTTAAGCAGATATTGAAAATGGATAAACTCAACGTAACACAAAACAAAAGATTTAGCAAGAGATCAAGATAACATATATATATAAAAAGGCGGTGCAGACAACATAAAAATTTAACAATACGCTAACAAACGATCATAAAATCTGTAATGTCGCATCTAAACAATGTTTTATATTTATAATATTATTTCCATCTATAGACAAAACAGGCAAAACGAAATGCATCAGACTTAAAAACTTTAAGTAATACATATTTGAATTAATTTTTTTTTTCTTTTTTCAACATTTTTAAATAAAAAAAATTTATATCAGAAACAATTTGTCTAAATTAAATAAAAATAAACGCGTTTTTGTGTGAATCATGTGCAAACGCTTCTATATGTAGCCAAGTAGGTGTTTTGGTTACGATGTGTAAACTTTTTGATTAAAGCAATATAAACTTTTTACTTACACTGTATAAAACTTGTATTATTTTAGATTAAAAAAACATGTAAGGTAATATAACTATAGACTAAGTTGGGTTACCTGAGAACTTCGTTCATTCAAGAATAAATTACAAAGAAGCGTTTTAACTTTTTTGTCTAAATTGTTTATGCGTGTTTGAATCTTGTTAACTAATCATTTCTGCGATTTGCAGGAAAGATTCGTTAACAAACAGTTTTAAAATTATGCATAATATTGAAATCTAAAGTTAGAAAATATGGAATGAATTGATCTAAATTTAACATCGGTTGGTTTAGGGTTAAACAAATTAGTTATATTTACAAATAAAATATTTCGATGTTCGATTATTAAGATTTTGTTTTAATATAAATTTCATTTATGTTAAAGCAAAAAGTTTATGTTTAAATTCTGTAACCTCGGTCACTCAAAAATCTTTATACGAGGTAATTATTAATTTTTTACTTGAATACGCGCGTTTTCTTTAGCTGTCATCACTATACGACAAAAGTAATTTCCAAAATAATTGGAAGAAACAAACAAATATAATATAACAATGAAAATGGTGCTTTATTTTAATAATGTTTGTTTAGAAACAGGGCCGACAACACGGCCTTTATATTAATAAAATTTGTATAAATATATACAGAGCCGACAACAGGTTTTTTTTTTTTTTTTTTTTTTTGGGGGGGGGGGGGACACAATCATTAATTTGTGAAAAAAGTCCTCTATATCAAGATTTTTCTTAAAAAAAAAAGTTTTTAAAAAAAAGGGGCGGGGGTTGGGGGGGGGGGTGGGGCAAGTGCCCCTCCCCCTATATATATATATATAAATATATATATATATATATATATATATATATATATATATATATATATATATATATATATATATATATATATATATATATATATATATATATATATATATATATATATATATATATATATATATCCTTGTCCTATTAGCTTATAAAGGTTGTCCTTAGCAACTCAAGATGTTAATGAGAAACGATATTGTCTAAATAAGGTTATGATTATCAATTACATTACGCAATATAATTTTGCTCTTTTTATTCGACAATTTATTAAATTTGTGCGAGATTTAAATAATGTGAAGCTTGATAATGACACCAACCAAAAGTACAACTCATTCAAAATCGCGAACAACAGCGCACTCAACCGCAGCGACGACGAGAAATTTTATTCAAATAAAAATGAGCGACAGAAATTTTAAAAAGCGATTAAAAATACAGACCATAAATATATTTTATTGCGTGCATTTTAAAAACTTTTATTATTAAGAAACCAAAAAATATCGCGCAAGTAAGTATATCTTTAGTTAAGTAATACAATCGATAAAGAAAAAAAATAATTATAGTTTTATCTTAAAAGCATTGACTAGTTTTAACGAGTTCTGTAGGTAACATTTACTTGCGTCAGTTTTAAGTATTAACATCTATGAGTAATTTTGTTTTTAATAAGTAAAATTTTGTATGTCTTTATATTACTTAACTTTAGTAATCTAATAAACAAGTAAATTTATCGTACATTTAATATATATAACTTTCTATAAGTTAAATTTACTTGCGTCAAGACAAAAAATTATCTTTTCTTAAGTTACATTTATTAGCGTCGAGTTAACTTACTCTTGCGTCAAGTTAAAATAGTATTTTTCACAACTACAGTTTACTTGCGTCAAGTTAAAATATTATCTTAAACAATATTTACTCATGTATTTAATGCAAAAAACATTCATAAATGCAGTTATTTTAAGAATATATTTACTCGGGAAAAATATAAGAAAGCAAAGGGCAGATCTGTGATGACATATTTTTCTTAAGACTAATTCCAAAATTTTTTGGGACCATTAACCTAAAATTTTAGGGTTTTTTTCAGTGGTGTACCGAGCCAATTTTGCTCTTCGAGCAAGCAAGGAAAAAGTATTTCTTTCCGCATTTTAGTTAAAAACACCGTTTCTGACGGAAAATGAGAACAATCTAAAAATCTGTCTCGTAAATCTAAGAAAAATTTTTAGCTTTTATCATAAGTTCATCCATTGAACTTTTAGAGAATGAGTGCCCACAAAGGAAGTCAAAATTGGTGGATACAGAATTCGCATCCCACAAAATCTTGTGTTTGCACTGGGATGCAATATCAATCAAAATTTTTTATACTGTCACAGTTTGTTTTCCCGGTCAATTAAAAAAAGAATTTGACACCAGAAATTCAACAAACACAAAAAATTGTAATCAACTACAGTTTTTTGTGTTTGTTGAATCATAAGATTTTTTACCCTGTAAACTGTGACAGCATTTGTCATGGATTGTGGGTAATATATTCAAAACAGAGCTTTTGAGAGGGAGGGGCAAAGGAGGCAAATTGACCCCAGCGCCAAGTTTGAATTTTTTGGGGCCCGTTCTTTTTTTGTTATTTTTTTCAATAAATAGAAAACATTTTGATGGCTGACAATATAAAATCTGCTTAGTTTTTATATTTGAGGTTGAAACTGTATTCGGAATAAAAATACTCATGGAAAAAAAAATTAATTTTAAATTCTGTTATTATAATTAATTATGAAGGATTTTGTTATTAAAACTATAATTAATTTTTGTTATTACTATCATAATTAATTTTAGGGTTTAGTTATGGTTGAATTAGACGGAACCGGGCGTATTCTGTAAGCCCATGAACAGTCATGTATCTAGTGGTGTCATGTATCTAGTGGTATCTATACTATCTCGTGAAACTAATCGCTGACAAATCAAAGAACGATTCTTGTGTGTTTAAACTTTCGAGAAGAAGAAAAAAGTCGATATAGCCAAGATTATCTTTGCTGTGATTGCAAGGTTAGGTTTGGATATTCAAAACTGTGGTGGTCGGGAATACCCTATTGGTTTCAACATGCCAGGTGCTTACAAAGAAGCTTAAGTCTTAATAAGGCAAAATTATTTGGAAGCTTTGTATTTTCCTTGTACCGCGCATAGTCTGAATTTGGCTGGTGTGCACACAGTTAATCAGCCATTGAGATCAAAGTATTCATAGGAAATGCCAAATCTTAATATTTACTTTTAATGCATGTTCCTTAATGAAGCTTTAGGAAGATCCTTAATGAAGCGACAGGAATTTTACTGCATAGACTTTCTATGACAAGATGGAGCTCTTGTACCGACGCAATTAAACCACATTCCAAGAGGCCGAGAGAAATGTAAGCAGCTCTTAAACATGCCATGGAAAACCTGGACCTAACCAATAAACAGCTCAGCCAAATAAGAGCCTGAAAAAATGGTTATCATATTTTGAATTTATATTGCTAATTACAATTTGGTACAAAACATCTACTGCTGTTAACCACGTTAATCATCTTCTACAATCTGAAGCCATTACCACCGATGACCAGCTACGTTTGATTGGACAGCTGCTGGAAGATATTAAACAAATTAGGGGCTCTTGGTAGAAAATTTTCCGAAAGCGTAAACTGAAGCACTTTCACAATGAAGTATCAAACACAGCCCATTTCCACGACAGCCAAACGAAACAATTTAAAGTGAAGGTTTTTAATGTTGGTTTAGATAGTCTGTTCTAGTAGATTGATTAAAGATTTGAGGCAAGCAGGATGGTTAGCAATATGTTTTCATTCATCTAATTAGATAATGATTATTTTTCCGATCAAAATAAAGCTTGCGAACTTGCACAGTTTTATCCGAAAGATATGAAGAAAAAGGATTTCATTAAAGAAGATCGCCATTATAACAATGCCCTCAAAACAATTTTTAAGCAAGTAAACCCACTGCAGCTGCTCAATTAAATCTTTGAGAAGAAGCTTGAGCGCTTTTTTCCATACATTTGCATCATACTCCGAATTTTCAACACTGTTTCAGTGTCCGATACTGAGGGTGCGCATTTGTTTATTAAACTGAAGATTTTAAAATACTCTCTCCATTTGGCCATGGGCCAAGATCGCGCTGCTCATCTTTTTATTATTTTGGTTGAAGAAGATTTGGCAAAAAAGGTGAGCTACGACGATGTCATCGATATTTGGCCGGCCGGAAAAGCTAAAAAAATTCTTTTTTAAACACCTTATTTATCTTTCTCGAAGATTTTATTGATTAAC